GGGGCTGAAGGTGCTGTCCTTGCTCCCCAGCGGCAGTGTGTGTTACAGGGAGCGGAAGGTGCCGTCCTTCCTCCCCAGCGACAGAGTGTGTTACAGGGAGCTGAAGGTGCCATCCTTCCTCCCCAGCAGCAGGACAATATATTGAAAGGAGAGACAGCTGGTCCCCCTCTTCACCAGCAGACCAGTATGGAAGGGTCTGGAGAAAATTGGATGGCCGAAATAAGGCAGCGAGTGGCCCAGTATGGGGATGATGTACCCATGGAGACACGCCGGGTGATCTGGAACCAGGTCATGGCCGAGCGAAACACAAGGCTGGACCGAGAATTCCAGAGGGCGAAAGAGAGAGAGCATCAGGGAGAGGAGCTTGTTACCCCCTCTCCCCAGCAGCAGTCTATGGTTCAGGGAGAGGAGCTTGGTACCCCCTCTCCACAGCAGAAGCATAGCCCACCAAGGGGAGACACTAAACCCCTCACCAGCGCAGATGGGACCGTGGTCTCTGCGCCCAAGCTACAGGGAGTACGGAGGATCAGTCCTGCTCCCCAGCAGCAGAATATTTTACCGGGAGGGGAGAGTGTCGTTCCCCCTCCCCAGCGGCAGCCTAAACCACCAAGGGGAGACACTAAGCCCCTCACCAGCGCAAATGGGACCGTGGTCTCTGCGCCCAATCTACAGGGTGTACGGACGGTGAGCCCTGCTCCCCAGCGGCAGAATATTTTACCGGGTGGAGAGAGTCTCATTTCCCCTCCCCAGCGGCAGCCTAGCCCACCAAGGGGAGACAGTAAGCCCCACAACAGTGCAGAAGGGACCGTAGTCTCTGCACCTGCACCACTGGAGATATGGACAGTCTGTCCTGGCCCCCAGCAACAGGACAATGTATTGGAAGAGAAGGCAGTTTGTTTTCCCCTACTACAAGAGAGGTCGTCGCAGGGAGAGGAGCCTGTTACCCCTTCTCCCCAGCAACAGCTTTGTCCAACCAGGAGAGAGAGCACCCTGGTTACCTTTCCACCAGACTATGGATTTCCAACTGGACACATGTGGCAGGAGAACACTGGGACAGCTACACTGGGTGAGAAAGGCCGACCGACTATCAGAGCCCCAGACCGAGTGAAGGTCTGGAGTCTGGATAGTCTCAATGGGACAGGGGAGAAATGTGGCGGAACCCGCCTCGCCACCTGGCATTGGAGAGGCCTGGCTGCCCGCCTCCTACCTGCTGACTATGGCCCCTGGTAAAGTTGTACTTTTGAATGCAATATTTGGGCATATTGTATTTTATTGTGCGGCTACTGGCCCTTTAAGCACAGTGAATTGACTTTTATTGTACTGTGCTGGCCTTTTAAAAACAGGGTATGGACATACTGAAACTTTTTGGACACTTCCTCTTTCTCTCCCCCGGATCCATTGTTCTCCAGCAGGGTGTTATCCCAGGGACACTGCCAAACCAGTGGGAACTGGTTTGCCAGGAAAAATCATGCTTGCAAGTGAAAACAAAGGACTTCGACCTAACCGTTAAACCCCTGAACCTATTCAAGTGAATTTTGGATATGTTTGTCCCCAAGTTATACTGGTTAAAATAATATAAGTTTTATGTATGTACGATGTTAACTCACAAAGTTATAAAAATTTACAAAAAGTAACTTTTCAGCTTGGAGATAATTGAGTAGATACAGTAATTGACTCAATTATCTCCTAAGCAGAGGGGAGGAATATGCTGGGTGTGTTTCTATTTTCCCATTGTGTCTGATTGGCTGCTGTACTTGCATTGTATGTGTTGTAATGTGTTTATTGGTGGTTCTGCAAAACCCTGTGGGCAGTACTATGTTTTGTGGATTGTGAATAAAAGAGGCTGTATGTGCCAGTACAGGGAGTTCCTGTTTTAACCCTCAAAGTGAAGTGTTGTCTCATTATTGGGGGAAGGATTTATTGTATGCTGTTCCAGTTTGACTGCTAGGAGAGTAAACCTATTCGTATGGTTCCTATTCAACTGTCTACAGCATTCATATGCTTGGGAGAATTTATTTGTTTCTCCGGTTCGGTGATTGTGGTGTCTGCCAGAGTGCTTTGAGTCCTCAGGAAGCGCTAGGAGCATCCTTCAACAGAGGTACCCAGTCGGGGTGCTATGTGATCCGTTACACTAGGAAGTATTACTTTACTCACAGGGTAGTGGATTCATATGCTTGGGAGAATTTATTTGTTTCTCCGGTTCGGTGATTGTGGTGTCTGCCAGAGTGCTTTGAGTCCTCAGGAAGCGCTAGGAGCATCCTTCAACAGAGGTACCCAGTCGGGGTGCTATGTGATCCATTACACTAGGAAGTATTACTTTACTCACAGGCCTTCCAGCTGAAGTGGTAGAGGTTAACACAGTGAAGGAGTTTAAGAATGCGTGGGATTGGCATAAGGCTATCATAGCTATAAGATAAATAAAAGTTTTTAGAAAACTGGGCAGACTTGATTGGCCAAATGGTTCTTATCTGCCGTCACATTATATATTTCTATTTTCTCCCAGCATTAAGTCTCGACTAATGTATGGGGGGAAAAGGATACAACACTGCTATAATCTAAAGCTATCCTGCGAGCTATGATCACCGACTGCTGCGATAAATGCGATAGTTTTAAGGGGAATGGAGAGCCTTTGCCATGACAGTTGAGTCCACCACATTACCTTCTTGGGAAATTGCAAGATAACCTAGACATGTATTATTGGAAATTAGTATTATCTAAGAAAAATAAAACAAATGCGAAGTGATAAAAAATAAAACGGGAAAAACCTTATGGGCACAATCACATAATGTTTAGTTGGTTTGTTCTGCAGCTAATTCTTAACATGTATTTAACATGTGGACCTCTTTTGGTGATAACTAACCTATGTTTGGGTTTATGCACATAAATAATAGTATTAATCTGATCAGTTATCCTGCTTTATATTTATGTTATATTTGCTTACGTGTAGATGTCAGAGAACGTTTCCTTTTTTGCGGTCAGGGTTTAAACACTGGCCCTGACAGCAGTTGCTACATCCGGTGAATAATTGTGTTTATGGAGCAGGGCATTCAATGGGTGTCAGATTGAGAAGGTTCTTTAGTTTCTCTCCTTCCTCAAGTATTTTTAATACACTATGCGTGATCCTCTTTATTTGTGTTGATAAAGCCTCAATTTTAGACGTGAAACGCATTCCGTATCCTGCTAGGTTTCACCTAGGTGTTGTCTTTTGTTCACCCCTTCATGCAGGCATTTGGAACTTTTTGATCTATTATTCTGAATGAAGTTTATCAAGTTTCCAACTCATATTATGTTTGAATAAACCGGTACATCGAAGGATTTGCATTACTAACGCGGTTTATTGAAACTGTGGATTACTTAGTTTTTTTTAATATTTCGTTTTTTATTTTTGCTTCGTCACCAACGTTACACATTGTTTACACCAGATTTGCAACCATAAAAAATAGATATATAATGACAACTATTAAGCACAGTCATATTCCACGAGGAGGGTAGCATTATAAACCATTCCAAGTCATGCAGGCCACAATCTCATTAGAGAAGTGGAGTATGACATTGACAGAAGTGCAGCGCTAACAACCAGGCCGTCCACTAGTCGAAAATATAGCTATGACAGGTCTAGCATAGGTGGTTGCTGTGGGTGACTGAGTGGTTCACTTTGTTTTGTCTGCCAAATCATGAATTTGGAACTCTAGGACCAGCATCAGGAGCAAGAGGTAAGTGCATTCCTTTTTGTTATCTAATAATAACGGAGCTGCTACATACTAAAAGTTTGTTCATGGTATTTGGTTTCCAAAATAGATCATCAAGTGAGTGGGGTGCACACACATGAATTTCAGGGGATAACATTTTTAACCCACTTAATAAATATAAGAGAAGTTCTAGCATCTGTAAACGCATGCCAATAACACATAGTACTTCATCTCATGGACTAACAGCTTCTAAAGGGAATTAACACATGGTTTTCTTTCATGATCTCCAGTGTGGAAACCCATCATCAAATCAATCAGTAAAATTTTTTATCAATGATCACTTATTACCTGGAACCCAGTGGTGTATCCTGGTTTTGTGCTGCCCTAGGCAGGACAAAACTCAGGCACCCCCCCCCGCGCACCAACCCCCCCTCCCAACCCACCTTCTAAATACACACACACACACATACATTCACTGACAGATACGCATACACTTGCTAACAGAAACACACACACTGACACACTCACACTCACTAACAGACACACACACTCACAGGCAAACACACTCAGACACACACACACATACACACTAACAGACAAACACAGTCAGACATACACACTGACACACTCACTCACTAGCAGACACACACACACACTAACAAACACACACACACATTAACAGACACACACACACTCAGACACACAGTCAGACACACACACACACTCACAGGCAAACACACACTCACTGACACACAGTCAGACACACACATACACACTAACAGACACAGTCAGACAAACACTCACACAGTCAGACACACACACACTAACAAAACACACACACATTAACAGACACACACTCACTCACTCACATTAACACATTTATTTATTTATTTTTATTTACCCCCCCGAGGGAGCTGAGCGGACCGCTCAGGGGAAGAGCTCCCTCGCCAGCCGCCATAATGCACCTTTGGGAGTGCTGGGGGGGGAGGGGGGTTCATTACCTCCCTGGTGGTCCAGTGGTTGCCGGGCTGGGCTGGGCAGGCGGCTGGCGAGGGAGCTCTTCCCCTGAGCGGTCCGCTCAGCTCCCTCGCGCGCCGCAAAGTGAGGCTGGGAGCCGGAAGATGACGTCATCTTCCGGCTCCCAGCCTCACTCTGCCGCCCCCTGAAAAATGCCGCCCAAGTCAAATGCCTTGTTTGCCTCGCGGCTAATACGCCCCTGCTGGAACCTAAAATACTGAATCGGATGAAATTGCTCTTCTATAAGGAGATGTTCTGTTTGGTTTCATTGCTTTAATAAAGAAAGAGTTAGCAGCATGTATTACAGTTTTATTTGCATCAATATTCTGTAAACAAAGTGAAACACAATTACATGAATATTTTATTAATACAAGAATTGTTATCTTTATAATACAGTATCTATAACAGTGCAACATGATTAACGCATTGATGTATTTTGTTTTTGGATATTTTCAGAATGAGAAATATTTTGTGAACCACTCAGGCCTCTTGGGTTCTTGATCTGAAGAGTCTGCCTTTGAAGAAACATTGGTGTGAATTCGCCTTTAAAAAAAAAAAAATATTAGTGCTATTTAATTAAGATTTATTATCTGTAACAAGAGAGGAAAAGCAGTTTTAAAGGGACACTCCAAACACTATAACAACTTAATCAGAATAAAGTTGTTATGGTGTGCAACGGTCCCTAGGTGCAGGCCTACCGTTAATGAACGTATTTACCACAAAATCTTAAATCCGACATCTGTCAGGTCTGCCCAGCTACTTCCGTTGCAGTCAGTGGCTTGAGTCATGAGCCTTCGAATGGGAACCACTGATAGGCTCCGGTTTCGCAGACCGGACTGAAAAACAGATGTATTTTTCTCCGTCCATTTTGTGAATAGGGCATTACTGGTAGGCTTAGAGTGTCAGCTGATGCTCTCAGCCTGTCAGCGGCTCCCAGTGTGAGACTTCCTGATACAAGCATTAGGCTGAAATGGAAGTAAGTGGGCAGAGCTGGAGCAGGATTCAAGACTTTGTGGATACATGGTTTAACCCCTTGAGATAAGCTGTTGTCCGGGGTGCATCTCAACTTAATTGTATCACAACTTAATTCTGGTGAAGGTGTTATGGTGCCTGGAGTGTTTGTTTAACTAATGTATTTTAAAGCATATTTAGTTATTTTGGCTACAAACATGTATTACAAGCACATTTAGTCACACAAAAAAATAAATAACCAAAACAAAATCACATTTTGTTAGATTAGAACATGTTTGCATGTTCCCTCTATATCTAATGACCTGCCTAACTCTACACATCAGAACAGCGTACAGCTTATCTTGCCAGACATCTACTGAGATTCTACTGCCACCAATTCCCTAGGACATTTCTTTTTCTATTTAATTTAACAATGACTTAAATCCTTTCAATTTCTCATTATTACCATGGGTGGGATGGGGGTAATGGGGATGGGGGGGAGTGTCGAGACAGACACTGATCAGCCACAACATTAAAACCACTGACAGGTGAAGTGAATAACATTGATTATATCATTACAATGGCAGCCTGTCAAGGCGCAAAGACTAGTTCATGTGGTCCAATCACACAGAAAAGCCTCTGTAGGTCACATTGCTGGCAATGATAGAAAGGTGTTTTAGAATACACAGTGCATCGCAGTTTGCAATGTATGGGGCTGCATAGCCGCAGACCCTGTCAGAGTGCTAATGACGACCCTTAGTGTCAGTACTGAACCATGCAGCGATGGCAGAAGGTTGCCTGGTCTGATGAATCACGGTTTATTTTAGATCAAGTGGATGGCTAGTTGCATGTGCATAGTTTACCTGGGGAAGAGATGGCAGCAGGATGCACTATGGGAAAAAGGCAGGCCAGTGAAGGCAGTGTTATGCTCTGGGCGATGTTCTGCTGGGAAACCTTGCGTCCTGGCATTCATGTGAATGTCAGCTTGACACATACCACATATCTAGAGATTGTTGCAGACCATGTACACCCCTGCAGGTAAATGGTGATCCTTGATGGTAGTGACCTATTTCAGGAGGATAATGCACCCTATCCTACCCTACCCTACCACACTGCAATAAATGTTCAGGAATAGTTTGAAGAACATGAAAAAAAAGTTCAAGGTGTTTGAATTTTAACATTATTCATGTCAGGCTCTGTGATAAAAATGGAGCCATAAGTGGGTTAAAACAATTTAATAAAACTCAAAGAATTATGGTGTTCATTACATGGTTACGTTGATGGAGGCAAATTATTTTATTTATACTGCTCATCAAAAAATTGTGCTTATCCCTTTTTATATAAGAAAAGCGTCAATTCCTTTTTATATAAGAATAGCATGGGAGATATTCCACCATTTAATAGTTTTTTTTATTTTCTGAATGTAAAAGTGCATACATGCCTGCTTGGACGAATGATGTTTAGGAGCTGTGCTGGTGGTTTGAAAGGATAACCATGTTTTACACTTTGATCCAAACTTGGAGAATTTCTAATTGGATTCATAATTTTACGTGGTATAATATCATGATTCATAAGGTTTTTCTCATATGCAGCCAGGTTTGGAACACTGATTACACGAGTTGGGATTTCACCAATCTTCTTTTTCTGCTTCCAAAAGAAAGGGGAACAAATGAAGTTCTGAAGCAATACATTCCTGAATTTCCACTGTTAATCTATGTGACTGTAGCATATCCACTGAACAATGCGGATATTTTTAACCACCGAACAAAACTACAAAATAATTATAGAAATCTCCTAAAACAGAATGCTTGTACTTTTGGTAAAGTGAGGTAAAACTGTTACCTTTAATGTGGGCGTTAAGCTACCTGCATTACAAGAAAAAGACTGACTCCTGTGGGTTTCTGAATTAAATGGAACATCATCCTCCATATCATATTCTTTTAATTCCTGAAGGAGGTAAACACATTGTAATTATTTTAACCCCATTACTACGAAGCAAATTTTATTACAAAAAAATATATCAGCATAATATTTTTTATTGAAACATGGGATATACAGGTATCACAAACATTTGAAAAACCAGCAATTCCGTGTATAGATTGCTGTTTAGACAAATAAACTTTACAATTATGCAAATTTGCACAATATTTATTATCCATTTATTCATTCTTTACAGAGATGTGGTACTGAAAAAATTTAGAAAGCTTCTATATACTGTATTCATACAGTATCTACACACTATAACGTGCTATATATTAACAGGGTCTGATATATTAGTAAGAAACAAAAATCTATTTGTTCCTTATATACAGTAGGTGTGGCATAAATAGATCAATAAAAATGGCAAAATACTCTTGTAAGGAGTACTTCTACTTATTGGTAAGGACCCTGACAGCATTGCTAGCTCTACAGGTTACTGATAAATGCAACAGGATGTAAAAATAATGTCTGCATTTCAGCATAATTCCCACATACTGTAAATCATATATTTATAAAACGGAATATTTACAAAGTTGTTGTTACCATCTCCGTATTGCTAAAGCAATAAGAGACCTAGGGGAAATACAATTCACTCATCCCTCTTTCCTGACTGTAGAAATGGTATGATTGTTGATGTCTTCTTTACTTGTTGGGGAGAGGGAACAGGGGAGATACCATTCACTCCTCCATCTTCCCTGACTGTAAGGATGGTATGATCCCTGAAGTTTTCTTTACTTGTTGGGAGAGTGTAGACCAAGCATGTCAAACTCGCAGCCCACAAGGACCATCTTTGCGGCCCGGCGAGCCGCGAGTACATGCTTAGTGTTATAGCAGAGTAGGCACCTGCTTTCCCCATATTGCAGGTGCCTACTGTGCTAACACTTACCCGGCCGGGGAGGAAGCAGGACACTGGCGGCCAGCGAGGGAGCTCAGCGTTCCTGCTCCTCACTGCTCCCTCGCGCGCGCTGACTGAAGTGAAGCCGGGAGCCGGAATATGATGTCATATTCCGGCACCTGTATCACTAAACCGAGCAAGGGAGCAGTGAGGAGCAGGAAGGACCCCAGGGAGATGCCCCACATCAGCTCCATAAGGTAAGGAGCAATAAAGAAAAGTGTGTGTCAGTATACTAATGTGTGTCAGTCTGTGAGTGTGTGTCTGTGAGTGTGCGTCTGTCAGCAAGTGTGTGTGTGTCTGTTAGTGAGTATGTGTGTGTCTATCAGTGTGTCTGTCTGTGAGTATGTGTGTGTGTCTATCAGTGTGTCTGTCAGTGAGTATGTGTGTGTCTGTAAATGTGTGTCTGTCTGTGAGTATGTGTGTGTGTGTGTCTGTCTGTCAGTGAGTATGTCTGTCAGTGAGTATGTGTGTGTGTCTGTCAGTGAGTATGTGTGTGTGTGCAGCCCACATAAACTTAAACTTTGTTTATGTGGCCCTTGCCACACTTTGAGTTTGGCATGCTTGGTGTAGACTGTCATTTTCAGACAATAAATTGGTAGAATGGGTTACTGGCAGCAAAATTAATTTTACCTTTAAGCTGGTGATCATTCCTGGAGTATAATTGTAGGTAAGTGATGTTTTGTGGATCATTTTTCAAAGCAAATGAAAGTAGAAAATCTGTATACACTCATTTAATAGTAAAGAGGTTGATTCAAATTATAATCCTGTCGGTTTATCTGTCTTTTTTTTTGTATGATATATTTGTTATATGTTGCATTTTTTCTCTTTGCATTAAGCAATAAAAGCAATAATAGGAAATAAATCTGTTTTTTAAAAATCTTCAACCGATTTGTCATTCATTAATACACTGTCTTAAATATTTGTGTAGTGTTTACAGGTCAAATGATCCCAATGAGACTTCTAAGCATATATCACAAAGTCCTGCTCAGAATTATTCATTAAGGGTTAATTGCTCACATATACTGCACTCATTTTGATGTGAAGGGCAAATTAATTGTTTGTCATTTAGTCATCATCATTCAGTCTAACACAGTGTTTATCCGCTGTTGAATTTTTGTAAAAAAAAATAAAAAATGGTTTGGTTTATTCTTGCCATTATAAAGTAGACAAAGAGAATGCTTTTTATTCTCGAACATGACTTTTATTAGATTTTTGCATTCTGTTTTTATGAAAATTGATCCGTCCAGATGTTGTGCAATTTGTGCAAACACCATATGAACATATTACAAAACAAACAACATGGGCAACGGATAAGCTGTTTTGTTTGTTTCATGATTCGAAGTCCGTTCCTTGGCGGTCTGAGAGCTTACTTATGTGGCTGCTGGCCTGTGATTACTAGCCAGCCATCAAATTAAAATGTAAAGAAAAAAAAGCCTATGGCTTTATATTAGCATGGGTTGTCAAGAGGAACAACAG